TAGTAGTAGTAGTAGTAGTAGTAGTAGTAGTAGTAGTAGTAGTAGTAGTAGTAGTAGTAGTCGTAGTAGTAGTAGTAGTAGTAGTAGTAGTAGTAGTAGTAGTAGTAGTAGTAGTAGTAGTAGTAGTGGTAGTAGTAGTAGTAGCGGTCGTAGTAGTAGTAGCAGTAGCAGTAGCAGTAGCAGTAGCAGTAGCAGTAGCAGTAGCAGTAGCAGTAGCAGTAGCAGTAGCAGTAGCAGTAGTAGTAGCAGTAGTAGCAGTAGTAGTAGTACTACTACTACGACGAGTAGGAGTAGGCGTAGAAATTGGAGTTGAAGTAAGAGTAGGGGAATATGAGTAGGCGTCTGGCATTGGCGTGGGCGCAGGGGTCATTAGTTGGCGTAGCAGTACAGATGTAGTACCTACGGCAGCTATGAGTATGTTAGGTTTGTTTTGGTCAAGGTGTCTTCAACATAGCGACGCAGCTATAGTTATAGTTGCAGTTGTTGTAGGCGTGGTAGTGGCAGTGTTAGGAACAGTAGGCGCGGTCGCGGTCTGGGTCTTGGTCGTCGTTGTCATCGTGGCTGTGGTCGTGCAAGGGGCTGTGGCTGTCGTGGGAGCTGTCGTTACCCTATCCTTCGTTAGTAGCTACTCCACAAGTCTAGATCGTTCAAGCACTGTCGTGTAAATCCCAGGAGGAGAATGTCCCTGCAGAAGCTCGAGCATCGCTGAACATCGCCGTTGTTTGCACAGCGCATTCGGGTCACATGCTTCCCTGTCTACACATCTGCATCTTGGCAGTCCAATGGTTGCCAATATTTGCCACTTACTGTTAGGAAGCACCACAGAACCCGTAACATATTGGCGTTCACCGCAGGACAGTGGGCAAATAGCTCAATCCCGGGTCATAGTTGGTCCTTGGGCACGGAACCCGAAGGTACTGAGATGACCAAGCGTGGACACCGAGTCAGGGTGCTGACTGCCGACTACGGTGTGGCTCTGCTGCTAGTAGCAAATAGTTCCAGCAGCACTAGCAGCAGGAGCAGTACCTGTACCAGTACTAGTTTAGTCAGTATTTAGTTACATAGAAGTACGATTATCATTACAAGTGTCAGGCCTAGTGTAGTAGTACTCGTAGTACTAGCTACCGGTGCTACTTCTTCCACAACTTCTTCCACCACCACCACCACCACCACCACCGCCACTACTGCTACGACTACCACCACGACGACGACTACTGCTGCTCAGTCCTACTCCTGCTGGTGCTATTGATACAGTTCAACTGCTTCTGCTACTGCTACTTTACCTAGTTAATTACCTAGTTTTTGTTAACGAACAGTTCCGTTATTAGAAGTAGTAGTGGTAGCAGTAGTAGCAGTAGTAGTAGTAGTAGTGGTGGCCATTTTACGCGACGACGACTACTACTACCACTACTACCACTACTACCACTACTACCACTACTACCACTACTACCACCACCACCACCACCACCACCACCACTACTACTACTACTACTACTACTACTAGTGCGAGTGCTACTGCCACTGCTACTGCTACTACGACGACGACGACTACTACTACTACTACTACTACTGCTACTATTAAAACCACCACCAAAACCACCACCAAAACCACCACCACCACCACCACCACCACCACCACCACCACCACCACCACCACTTCTACCCCTTCTACTACGACGACGACTACTACTACCACTAGCACTAGCACCACTACGTACTGCTATCACTACTACTGCTACTACCGCTACTATGTCAAAGATACTGTTGTAAGAATATTCATGTGTTCTTTGGTTTTGGCACGTAGAGGCTTTAAGGTGGAGCTGCATAGATCTACCTGTTGCTCTCTTTCGCGAATCTGCAGATGGCCTGTAATCCGTAGCAGCCCCATAAACAGTGTTCATGCGCAAGTGTCTGCTGGAGTCCTGCCTCATGTATGAATATCACATAATTACTTAGCTGCATTTTGCCAATTGCATCTGCGAGAGTACATACAGCTTCTTGTGCACACATGCATAGAGGCTTAAGGTACTTACGGCACATACACATACCATGAATACAACATATACGATACGTACATGCAGTTCTGTATATACATACACACATACATACTTACATACATACGTGCGTGCATACATAATGCATACGTGCGTGCGTGCATGCGTACAAGCATACAAGAACACTTGCATGCAAACATGCATGCATACCTGTTCCACGGTTAGACACACACGACGGACACAAGCAACATCTGATGAGTTACATGATTACATGTCAACCCTGCTGGCTCAAGCCACTGCATGTTCGTGCCTGGTTGACTTCGCAGAAGTCGCTGCCTTCGACAGCTCCTGGCTTCATTTTAAGAAAAGTGCTTATCCGAATCCTGCAACAGGTGACTTCGTTCAGATTGTAGGGCTTGGGAGGTGTTGGAGGTTTTGGCCTTCACCTTCGGTACCAGCTTGCAGAGTTCGGCAGCACTCCACCATCTCGGACCCTTCTCAGCACCATGGAGGAGATCGACAGGCTTCTTTCCACAATCGAGCTTGATGAGTACACCATCAAGGAAGCATGCGGGTGTGTGGTTGCAAGTGTAGCTTTAAGGTTCGAGACTTGTGCGCTCAATCCTGGGCTCATACTCGAAATATAAGGTGCAGCAGAACACATTTTTTGTCGGTCTAAGTGTCTAGCGTTCAGGGTACCCAGAGACTGCCAAATCCCTTAACTAAGGAATATACCTTAAATCATATTAGGGATCCTACGACGTTTTAAGGTCTATTCCTTAATTGGATATTGGAGTCTCCTAAACCCTATACTCTAGAGATCCCTTATGGATCCCTTTAAAGGAGCCCTAGGTAGTCCTTCATGACGGGGTTTTGTCGTTGCAGGAAGTCCAAAACGGCTGGGAGACGACCGAGAAGCGCCTTGGAGGGCCAAAAGCGGCCGGGGAGGAGGTCTTTACGAAGCTGAGGATCCTGGGACTTCCCTATATGTATGTATGTATGCCTATTTTTACTACGACTACTGACTACTACGACTACTACTACTACTACTACTACTACTACTACTACTACTACTACTACTACTACTACTACTACTACTGGGTTGAGCCAATGAACGGACGGGAAGCCACCGCCTAGATGTTGCACTGATGGTGTACTTCACTTACCTTCTCTTGTACTTCCTTGCCCTAGCGTAGTCTGGCACTGTCCTTGGAACCTTGCTGAATTGCGGGAAGAATAGCTGTAAATTCGACCCGGTGCAGCAGCAGTGCGACCCTTTCGTATCTCTCCGTGCAACGCCTTTTGAAGCTGTTGGAGCTCGACAGTAGTTGTGTTCATGTTCCTTCGGAGAGGGTGATGGGGAGCTGAATGATCGTAGTCAAGGTGTAGCCTGCAGAGCAGCGTCGTTTGGACGCTGACAAGTGGGAGCCAAAACTACTACTGCTGCTACTACTGCTGCTACTACTGCTACTCCTACTACTACTACTACTACTACTACTACTACTACTACTACTACTACTACTACTACTACTACTACTACTACTCTGCTAAAACTCCTACAATTCTACCACTACCATTACTACCACTGCTCCTACTACTCCTCTTCCTCCTGCTGCTGCTACTACTTCTCCTCGACACTATTGCAGCTGCTGTTGCTCCTGCTGCTGCTACTACCACTACGATGACGACCACTACTGATGAACTAAATGGAGGAGTTGATGCTTTTAACCATCTCTTCCAATGCGATTTCAGGAACGAGATTCCGAAGACACAGGGGATGCTCACACGATCCAGCACTGTTTGGCATCTCTTGTCGGAGTTGTTGCAATCCCTTGGGCAGCCGAAGCTTGTTCAGAAGCGCTTGGAGTACATCGCCCTGCGCCACATGAACGCGGATATCACCACGGCCGACGTCGAGATCTTCCGCAACATCTTGTTTGAAGTTTGTGCGTCGAAGCTGGGTGGCTTGATGACTCCAGAGTTCCAGTTTGGCCTGGGTCAGATCGTCGTGGCTGTGGGCACTTCCTTGGCCAAGACCCACGCGCACTACGCAAAGCGGCTTCATTTGCTGACAACATGCTGGAAGCAAGTGAACGTGACCGAGGACGACACCCACGAGCAACAGGGACCCGTGTCTCGGCAAGATTCAGAGGACCAAGACAAGCAGGACGGGGAAGAAGAAGATAAGACCAAAGACAAGTCCGAGCAGCAGGCAAGAGAAGCTAACATGGCCGGGGATGGTGCGAAAGATGTGGAGAAGGGTGATCAGGAGCAGGGCGATGAACGGCATGGATCGTGGCAGGACAACTCCAACCTGAACATTCCAAAGACCTTTGCAGCGATGGCGCGTTTCAATGCTGCTGTAATGGGCACGGGAGACCGCATGTGGTTTGCTGACATGCTCTATGCCATGGAGTCTCTCGTGCCCTACATCGGCAACATAGACCGGGTTCAGGAAGACTGCGACGTACTGATGTTGACGTTGGCCAAATACGATCAAGTCAATCTGAAGGAATTCCGTTCCGTGATGTTCGCAAGTCTTAGGTCCCTTCTGCCGACCATATGGAGCAACGACCACGAGAATGCTTGGGCCTGGTTCTGGACCATTGTGGAGAAGAAGGTTGAAGAGAACAAGAAGCTCCCCGTGTACAACCACCAGTGCTTGAGGACGTTTCTGGCTCGCCTCGACGAAGAGACCCTTGCAGACTTTAAGCTGAAGGTGTTCGACTCCTTCTTCGCAAACTGCGAGGAGTCGCAGCTTTACTTGCGGGCGGCCAACAAGCGCTTGATGTACATCATGGGGAGGATCTTGACCATCATGTCGGACATCTACACAAAGACCCACCAAGCCGTCATCGCCCTGTCCGCTTTGGGCCTTCTTCATGCCGGGCACGGGGTTCCGGAGGACTTGGTGCGCCCTTTTGTCGCGGCTTTCATGGGCGGTATCAAGGAGAACTGCCCAGATGAGTCTATGCATGATGGGCTCTGGTGGACGTTGGATCTCATCGGAAGGATCTTCATCCGAACGCTGTCAGAAGGCTCCACGCCAGTGATCATCGCCATCAACAGGAACACATCCAAGGCTATGAAGCTGGCTGTGGCCAACTATCCGCGTGGAGAGCGTGAAGTGATCTTTCTGAAAGTCCAGGTGGGCACCGAATCCATGTCCCCTCTGATTTGGGCGATTGAGAAAGGCGCGCTGGAGTCTGCAAAGGAGATCCTCAACGATTTGCTCACCATGCGTGCAGACCGTGCCCGGTACTACTACGGAATGGAGATGTTGTTCACCCGGCATTCTGACATCATCAGCCTGCTCTGCACCAAGGCGCCATCGCTCCTGCCGACCTTGTTTGATGGACTCATCTGGCGTTCAAAAAATGTGAAGAATGGCATGCGGCGCGCGAACTACTACATCGCATCCTTGCTCAGGGGCGAAGATGGCCAGCTGACAGACTCCCTCCTCGACCTGATCAAGCAAGGTGACCCCGAAATCATCTGTCATCCCACGGTGGTGTTTCAGGCGGATCTTCTTTGGACTCGGCTTTGTTGCTTGCCATGGGCTATGACAAAGCTGTGGTTCTGTGCCACCCTTGTGGTCTACGTCATGGCAGAGCAGCAAGCGGTGACTTCAAGCGATCCCTTGAGTCAGGAGCGGTTCACCACCATCATCTGCCGGGCCTTCTTGTACATCGGCAGCCTTGGGCAGCTCTTTGCCAAGCATGCCTACCAGACATACAGGGCAGTACGTCAGAAGCAGATGACGCGCATCTGCTGCTTGCCGGTGCCCAAGTACGTGCTGCAAACGCGCCAAGAGTTGACCGAAGTTCTACTCACCCTCCTCCTGATGTGTTTGCTGCTTGGCTGCTCTCTTTTGAGTTTTCTGCAGGCTGGCATTTATGATGCAAGGGGGAGCTGCAAAATGCAACTTCGACAAAACCTCCTCTAGCGCTGCACGGGTCGGCATCGCCGAGTAGCATCTGTTGTCGCACGAATGATTTGCTTGGGGTTTATGGATGTTTAGGGTTTATGGATGTTCAGGGTTTTTGGCTTGATATGTGGTATCTAGAACCAGACGTCGGAGTGCTAAACATGCAAACTTGTCAAGGTTGTGCTGCGAGCCGGTGCTCCACTGCCTTGCCGTCAGCAGCGAGTTGTTGACAAACTGCTGCGAGCACGGGGAATGGCAGTGTCATCTTATCCACACATACAACCGCCTCGCTGCCTTTCCCATGATGCTCTACTTCGTGCTTGCCTCCGAGTTGGTGCACCTGAATGTCAGCCTCTCTGTCTTCAGCGTGATCTGCTCATGCCTGATGTGGGAATTCATCCTCTACGTGGCAGTCTTGGCCTTCTTCACAGCAGCTTTCGCGTCGGCGGTTGCTTGCTTACCCCCATCCTTGGGCACCGACTCGATTCAAATGCGGGACTTCTTCAGCTGGCCCCTGGCTTTTGAGTCTCTGCTGTCCTCGGCCTTCAATGTCTATGGCAGTGACAACTACGAGCAGATCTCAGTGGCAGATGAACCGATGCTAAAGTGGTTTGTCATGGCCTTTGCGGCGTGCTGGCACGTGTACCTCATGAACCTCATGGTGGCACAGCTTTGCCAGCGCTACAACGAAATCTACCATGATGCACGGGGCAATGCCCGCCTGACCCGTGGAATCAACATCTATGAAACCTCCATGCCCCTCATTTCCAAGAAACGCTGGACGGCCTTCGTGGAGTCCTTACGCTTGGAAGAGGCTTGCGAGCTCGATGAGGGTGATAATGGCCCCCGCGGTGCTGTGCCGACTACCGAGGACCCCTACGACTACTTGCAGTATCCAAAGGTGGAGCTGGACCGTGTTCAACGTTATGGCGGCCTTGCGAATCCAGAGCTGCCGTGGCCATCCTTGGAGGAAGCGGTGGATGACAGCGCTGTCGGCAAATTGACGCGAATGACGCAAGCCAAGTTCGAGGACTTGAGATCTGAGGGCACGAAACTTGTTTGTGAGGGAGCGCCATGCGAGCTTGCACGCAGAGTTGGTTGTCAAGTCATCCACAAAGCACAGCACCCGGATAAGCCCACCGATTGCAAAGCATCCCGCCAGGAGATGGACAGGCTCAAGGTACCCCTTATTTCGGAAACTCCCCCAATGCAGCACCCTAAATAGTAGGATCCTTATTATAAGGAACCCAAAATAAGGTATCTCCCAATTTCGGAAACTCCCTCATAAGCCCTGAAGATTTCGTTCGCCCGAGGAGATGGACCGACTCATGGTGGACATGGCCATCAAACTCCAGGTGGGTGATTGTCAAAATTATGGTCCCCTTTCGGTACCCTAAATTCTAACTAAATATATGGGTGGTTGTCAACATTATGTTCCGTTTTTGGGTCCTTATTGTAGTACGGCACTTAATGTGTAGGGTACCCCCAAAAGTGAGCCTAACTTTGACAGCCACCCAGGTTCGACCTCCAGGGACCTCGGGTGGAACCAAGGAATCTTGGTCATAGTTGGGTAACATTTTACATTTTTATGGGTACTTAAAGCCAAAAAGGAACAAACATGTACATTTTTAATCCTATTCCAGCCATCAACTAGGAATACTCAGCGATGCATTCCGAGAAGCGCAGCTGGGCGGGCTTTTTCGCATTTTTTGAAGTTCAGGGTCTTAGTCTTTGTCTTTCCTTGAGAAAACCCGGTAATCCTTACCGACTTCTTGGAACCAGGCGATGAAAGCAAGATTGACGGTCACGAACAGGACGTCGGCACCGCGAAGGAAACCGAAATCTCTGAAGAACTCGCGGAAGTCTCCGAGGAGTTGCCTGTGAACGAAGTGACTGCGCACCCGGGTCCGAATTTTGATCGGTTTTTCGTTTTCATTCGAGAAGGGTCCCTGTTTGAGGCTCTTGGAACTCTAATCAAGTCTCTGAGCCGTTGAGCGAAACGGCTCAAGCTTACCATTAAGACTACGACGGCAACACTAAACCCTGACCAGTTCTGCTTTCCTGTCCTTGTTTTGTTCCGTCTGGCAGGAACGAGCTCGTTCAGGAGCGCACGGAGGAAGGAGAGGCCCTGTCCGCGACCCCGTATGGTGTGAACGGCACGTCTGTTGTGAGCGGAAGTCCGTCCGCTGTGAATTAGCGTAAAAGCTTGAAGTATTGGCATTCTTAATTCCCTGATGCAACAGCATTACAAGTACTGTAGCCTCCATAACCCAGCTCTAGTTGAAGTACCCCTCAGAGTATCCCTCATAGACCCATTTAATAGAAGAGGAACCCTTAATACAAACCCCGTAACTACCGCAGAGAGAGTTTTTTAGCTCCTTGCAACTGGATTGTAATGTTCCTTAAATTTCCGAAAATGGGGGATCCTAGTATAGCACCCTAAATAGTAGGATCCTTATTATAAGGACCCCCAAAATACGGTACCCCTATTTTTCGGAAGCTCCAATTTCAGAATGCCTCCAAACTGCCAATTAGCTCTAACCGAGGCTGGGCTGTCGTTTGTGGCCGGAACCTTGGGTTAGGGTTTAGGGTTTAGGGTTTTGGGGCTTCTGTGAGGGTGGAGGATGTTTAGGGCCTATTACTGGGGTTAAGGATTACCTAGACCCTCCATCTACCCTCTATTAGACCCCGAATGCCCCTTATTTGGGACCATATACCCCTATTTGAGGGTACAAGGAGGGTCCTGGTAGGGTTTAGGGTGTCAGGTTTCGTGACGTTGCAAGCCAGTTGCAAAAAAAGGGTTTCAGGTTTTGGACGTTTCGTGCTGAGGGTTCTGGGTATTTTGGCCCGTGGCAGAGAGAATCGACGAGAAAAGGTCGGCAGGCAACGCAGTCCAGAAACCGGCATCGAGTGTTTTTTAAACTCATATTTGAAGGCAGTCGCTATACTCAGCAGATCGAAGTGTGCATCTTTCTTCCAGACGGTCTTACGTACGGCGCATCAAACCAATGCGATCGGCGGAGCTGCGGCCATTTCAACGCTATACTGTTTCAAAACGACTCGGCGAACACCGCCTTCCTCTTTGAGATTTCGAATCTCTGAGTTTAAACTTGATGCTAAAGGCATAATTCGTCGGCAGGCTGCTTGGAGTGGAGCCGCCTGAGTTAGAACATAGCGGCTTGGGAGTCATTCAGCAAGGAGGGCCGACCTCAATCCTTTTTGAGCACGAAATGGAAGGCAGCCGCAGCTCAGCACATCGTTTTCCTCGTGCCATTTTTCTACTGCGGAGTTCTTATTCCTCTTAGCTGTGTGACTGGACATATCACGTGATCTGTGGTTTGTGCAGCTGTGGCCATTTCAACGCTTCCGTTTCAAAACGACTTTGGCGAACACCGCCTTCATTGAAATTTCGTGGTCTTTAACCCTGCAAGCGGCTCAGGCAGTGAGGTTCCTGCAGGTTGTGTCAGCAGCGGCTTTGAGCACGAGCTTTAAAAGACGGCAGGGCCCAATCTTGATGCAGGAGTTTTTGCAGTATGGTACTGTTTCATAGACGGAAGCACAGAAAACTGTCGTGAATGTATTGGGCTCTCTTTCTCTCCCGAGCCTGGCGCATAGGGTGTGAGATGCAGTCCTTCTGCTGCCCTAAGCCTAAACCCTCTTGAATGCCTGAAAGCCCTACTTAGAGGATCATGGGACTTAGTAAGTAGGTTATAACTGGGGTTATAAGTCCCCTAAGTGGGGTTATCCTAATTATAACCTACTTATAACCTTACTTACTAAGTCCCATGAGCCTTTAAGTAGCAGCCCTGGCAGCGAAACCCTAAAGCCTTCTCGTTAAGGTGGACGAGTTCGAGAAGAAGGTCGCGCAGACTGGTTCTAGCATAGTGGGCTTGGACATGGGTGGCATCAACGCCGACGAGCTGGAGAAAAAAGCCAGGGAGCCACTTCGAGAATGCTTGAAAGGGGCTCCCCAAAACCCAAAAGCACATAATGAACCACATAACCACCCATCACCCTACTCCCTAAACTCCAAATCTGAAAGTCAGCTTGTAGACCCGACCGTCAAAGCGCACCAGAGACCTGATCCGGCATGTCCGAGTTGCGAGCGTAAACCCCAAATCTTAAAGCAGCAAATTGCGGCTACAGTGTGGCCTCTTTGCTGTTCAACCAAGTTACCCTGCAATGCGGGCTTCGTCCTTGCTAGGTAGGAGGGAAAAAAGCAGCAAAACCTATAAACGCCCGACGCCTTGACAGACACTGCAGCCAGCTCCCAACCCACCAAAGGCTCCATGTACCTTTATAGTAGATACTTACGCCTTAAAGGGGTCCCTACATAGGTACTTTAAGGCCTAAGTATATACGATATGGGTACATGGAGCCTTAGGACCCTAAGCGAATCTTGCGCCAAGTCGGGGAACCTTAGCCGGAGGGACTCTTCAGTCAAGGCTTGGAGTTTTAGCGTATGCCTGGACCCCAAAAGTATGTGGAATCATAGCCTTTTATAGGTTTTTGGGCCATTGTTTTACTTACTTTTGAGGGTCTAGGTGGGGCTATGAACTAGCCCTATAAACCCTAAACGGTCTGGGGGTCAGGGTTTAGGGTTTAGGGTCTGCAGTATCGCGCTTTCGTGGGTTAGAGTTCGAGGAGCAGCACTGAGTTGCCCAGCTGCTTGCATTCCGAATCCGGACGCCCTGCAAACCTTATTCATTAAACTTTACACTTCTAAACCCTACCCTGAACCCTAGTCGCCCAAAGCTTCGAAGAGTAAGCGAAGAGGTTTGCTGCGTCGGGCCATGGTTCTAATAGGGTTTCACTCCTTTAGCATCTGTAGTGTTTAGGCGTTGCGTGTTCTTGTGCTCAGGTTCTAGAGGGGTTTAGGGTTAAATGGTTCGGGGCCCTGAGAGGAGCAAAAGAGGATTGTGTTTCTCCTGCTGCAAGAGTTGATGATGTCTCCCTTGGAGAAAGAGCTTACGATGGACAGACCTGATGTAGCTCCCAGGTGGAAGTTGGGTTAAAGGTTCATCGTTTGCTAAGTTGCTCGTAATTTCAGGCTTGGCTGGGGGTGTGGAGGTATGATAATGGCTTTACTGCTTCTGAAGGCTTTTGAACGGTTGCAAGTTTGACAAATAAATAATTGGTTAGTGGTCATGAGTGGCTAGACTGGGATGTGGGGTGTCATTTTCCCATGTGGCTGTTTATGTGGTATGGAGGGGTGTTAAAAGTGGGGTGTACGCAAACTTGCACTTTTTTTTTATTCGAGTGCAGCTACATCCGTATATCGGCCATTGTAGGGGCCTGAATAATTAGAATAGGGTTTGGGGGTATATGAGACTATATAATCATACTAAGAAACCCTCGAAACCCTATTCTAACTTATAAGGCGCCTACAATTCGCCAAAAAAAATCCGTGCTGTGGTTTTGGAGTCTGGATCCTGAGGGTCTGGATCCGTGGGGCTTGGAGACCAAACCCAAATTCCTCATAAGTTGAAAGTTACCTACCCCTGAATCCCCTGAATCATTACAACGAATCGGAAGTGAACATCCGAAGCCAAGTCGTTTGAACATTCTTTGGAAATTCGGGTACTGGCAATGTGCTTCCCAAAGAAGCACAGCGATTGTCAAACTTCAACTTCATCGAAGTTTCTGAAATCTGTCCCAGCCGGATGTGTCGAGCTTGCCGAAATGTCTGAATGTCAACATGTTAGAACTTAAACTGGTTTTGCCAGAAACTGTGTAACGATAAGCGGTTTCGGTTTTCTGTGTCCCATGTGCTTGCTTGGCTGGCTTGGCTTGTTCGGTTCGCCATACACATCTGATGCACAGCCCAGCTCTGGTCTAAAGACCGCAGTGCAGCCATGCAGGCGGAACTTGTGTCGGGTTAGGGCTAGGACCACCGTCCGCGGGTAACATGCATCGGATAATTGACAAATGAAGCATTGCGACTTTGGCATGTTTACATGAATTACACTCCTTACACTTGTAAACACTTGCTTGTGCAGAATTTTGGGGCCATCGCTGTTTTTGATCATTGGTGGTATGCACATTCAATGACACTGGTAAACACCGGCTTGGACAGAATGCTGAACCATCGCTGTGTTTGCATGTTGTTGTTACATTCACCAAAAAAACAGTTTCTTTGCTTTCTGTAAGTTTTAAATGTGTCTGCAAATCTCCACTTTGGTACATTCTATATCTTTCTGGATGAACCTAGCACCGCTTTTTCAGTCTCCTACATGGATTTGCCCACTCTGGTTTCGGATTTTGATGGATTTTGAGAAAGCCAAGCCTCAGGATCCACCCCCCTCAAATCCAGACTCCCAAGCCATAAATATCATGAACCCGTACAGATCTTATGGCAATCCTCATGGCAACCCATATAATTACCAAGCTGAAACCCTAAACCCAAACAGAGGGCAAACTTCAGTTCTTCTGCGTCAGTGTCACACGTACCGTTACCGAGAGACCTCGTCTGGCGAGTCCGAGTTGCGAGTGTGTAATCACAAACAGGTAAACCCTAAACCCTAACCCTTTACGTACAGCAACCCGCCTCTCCTCTCACCTGAGTCGCACACTGCGCCGGGAAAGACGTCCTGTTGCGTTGAATTCTAACCCTAAGGGATCCAAAGGACCTCGTATTTGGGTATTACGTGTACTATTTTGGGTGTTTCTTATCATAAATATGGTATAATAGATCCCAAACCCTATTCTAACTGATTCTAACTATTAAGGCCCTATATATTATAGGTTTCGGATACTAGTCTTCTAGCCTAGTTGTTGGAGGAGTATATGATTGTTAGGTGGTTGGACCTCCAGGATAGGTTTGGGGCTTGCATGTCCCCGATAAAGCATCAGCAACTTCCAGGTTTCAGGCTGGTTTTTGCGGTTTAGGGTTTAGGGTTTAGGGTTTGGTCTTTAGTGGAGGTTATGAAAGTGTGGGTTTTACGCCTTCACAAAGCCGAAAGAACCAATCACCTCTGACTAAGGTTATGACGGATTTCGCCACCCTGGCAGGCTGCGCCGTTGCCCAGAAGCTGAGAATACCCCTGCTTCGAGGCCCAATTGGCTCAGTTTCTACTTCTAAATGACTTGAAAGTGCAGGTCGTGATTTGACGAGTGTCTGTCACATCCCGCTGTTGTTCTTAAGGCTATCCTGTAGTTACTGTAGTTGATAGAATACTTGACGTCAGGGAGTCCAATCCCAAAACCTAAGCCCTGTATCCTAAACCCTTGGGTGCATGGTCGTTGCCCTCGCTTACTCACGTGGATGGATCCTTGTGGAGCTTTGCCTGCATTGTGTGCGTTCCGCACGTCGAAACCCCGAAACCCGAAACCCTAAATCCTAAACCCAAATGCATCCTAGGAATGATATTAGTAGCAAGACGGATAGTAACCAAAGTAACAATATGTATGCATTTTGATATTTGTAGATTCAACACACGCACACATTCTCCGGTATTGTGCAAGCCTTCAGAGACCCATTTCCTCGAGTCTTCTGCGTGAAGAAAAAGTTCGTTCAAAACAACAAAGCAACAAGCTTGTTTTTGGTTTTTGGGGTTTAGGGTTTAAACTCTTGTTAATGCTTAAGGCTTGTAAGGGTTGAGGTCAAAGGGCTAATATACGGTTTATAAGGGTAGGGTGTAGGGTTTATGAGGGTTTAGGGAAGGGTTAAGGGTATGTAGGGTTTAGAGTTCCCGTGCCAAAACACTACATCCGAAACTAATCCCCAGAGCCCAGATCCGACGTACTAAATCCTCCCAAAGGGTCCTATGTGCTGATATGGGGGATACTTCCCTAAGTCATAATAGTAATTCCTAATGTGGAAACCCTACACCCTAAAAAATATAAACCCTAAACCCCTAAACCCTAAACCCTTTGGGCCTGGCAACATGGCCAAGGCTGGTGAACTTGCCCGGTCCCATCTCGCTCCTCCGGGTATTTCTCGGTCCTTGGGCCCACATTCTGGAAGTTAAGGATTTTCAGGAGACGTGATATAGAGGCTTTGAAGAGTTGTAGGATTTCTTTTCATAGGTATAATACGATATAACTTCGTGTGCCCTAAAGGACTTGTGCTTATGATAGCAGGGCCCTGCAAGTTAAGTATGAGTTCAATGATTTGCCAAGTTATTGATCATTGATCAAGACGGAAATCCAACTGCACATAAGGCTTACTAGAAGCCTTGCTGACGAACCACCATGCAACCACAAAGCAGCCCGTCGTCGCATATTATAGTTCGCCATGTTGTATGCTTATGTGTGCCTTGAGTGAGCTGTGCCAAGATATTTGGGAGTTTTCGGAAATAGGGGACCCTAATACAGCACCCCAAATAGTAGGATCCTTATTTGGACCCCAAAATAAGGTATTCCGAATTTTCGGAAACTCTAGGCCCCTATAGAATCCTTTAAAGGAACCCTTATGATACCCTAACAGTACCCCTTTAAAGGAACCCTGAGGTATTCCTAATTTTCGGAAACTCCCTTTTTTGAACCTTGGACAGTGTCGGGCCTGGCCTGGTTTGGCCGAGTTTTGGAGGAGAAAGCAAACCCAGACCTTGCAGTGGTACAATAGGAATATAATAGGGCCCTAATATAATCCTTATAGTCACTATTACAGGGTGGGGGCAGCTTCTAACCTAAACCCCACAAGTCCGAGCAGCAGGTTTTTGTCTATGGCTGTCACAGTTTTTGAGAGGTGGTATGCAAACGGGAGTGATTCGGAGTTTGGTGGCTGCGACCATAAGCCCCGTTAGGTTTCCGGATCTTGAGATTGAGCAGTAGGCAGATGAGTGTTTGTTAGTGTTGCTTGTACGTTTGGAGACATGAACAGGAGGCTGTCACAATCACTTTGTGCATCAACCAGTGTGCTGCTGAACAAGCTTGCGAGGTTCAATCTTACACAAGCTCACAAAAGCGTTCCCCTCCCGCAACGCGAACGAACAGCGACCTGAAGCCTGAGCTGTTGTCGGACATTTCAGAAGAATCCCTGAACTCCCGAAGCCTTCACCTGAAAACATACGGGCGCTGACTGAAGCTTTTGGCCTTTCTGAGGTATGGTAGACACCACTACAGCCGTTAATTTCCTGGGGTTGCACATTGCCCGGCAACGCCTGAGTCCTATGAGCACCTCGGCTGTGATTTTCAGCATCGGGGACATTAGTTCAGCTCGTATGGCTTTTTGAACCTCAGCTCCGGTTTAGGGTCGAGGGCTGTCACGTCAAGTTGAAACCTTGAGTCCCGACAGCGCTCTGGACCCCCTGGATTCGAGGAGTCGCACTGCTCGCAGACGCCGTAGCTTCGTAGCTTGGGACTGCAGATATAAGCATAAGAAAGAAAGATTCCAGCTGCTCAACTGTAGTGCCAATCACGTAGCAGCCTACTTGGCTTTCGGTGTGTTTGGAACACAACCAGTGAAACGGATTACATAAATCCTGCATTACCCAATTAATAGTGAGAATGGGGTTCCTACAAAGGGATCCTTAAGGGGGTCTATCGGGGATCTATAATAGGGTTCCATAATACAGGGGCCTTAATAATTAGAATAGGGTTTCGGGGCCCATTATACTATGACTATAACTATAATAAGGAACCTCCAAAATAGTGTAGGTAGTTAGTTGGCCCCCATAACATATCGATTCTGGATTCAGGCTGCAGATGGATGCATAAGTGTATTTATATCTGGGTCTGTGTGTGCACGTGTGTGTGTGTGTGCGCGTGTGTCTGGCTGTGGCACAATCGAGCCGCAGCTGCGGCAGAAAACAGCCTTATTGCGTCATGACAGCGCTTGTAATGTATTCTGTACCGGACTCATGGAGCTATGAAAACTGGACATGTCCGCTGCTTCAACACGTGGCCACAATCAGTCTCGTTGACTATGTTTGTTCGTGTCTCTTGTGCTTATTATAGCAATATAAAATAATTACCTAAACCGTTTTTGGGGTTCCTTAACTTAGTCATAGCATAATATACCCCAATACCCTATTGTAATTATTAAGGCCCCTGTACTAAGTCTTTACAATAGCCTTCGTAGTCACCCTTATAGACCCCTTTAGAGGAACCCTGTTCTACTTTTTAAGGTCCCCATATTAGTTCTTGTGCCGATCTGCTTTCGCAAAATATGCTGCCTGGAAAGTCTCGCAACCTTAGAGCCTTGTGTAAAACCCTAAGGGTCCATGTACCCAAATAGTGTATACATTGGCCTTAAAGTCGTCCCTAGAAAGGTAGCTTGGGGCCAGGAGTATATACTCTTTGGGTACATGGTCCTTAAAAACGAAAACCTATGCAAACCTAAGCCTACTCGAGTCCACGGATTCGATATTTTCTTGGACAGCCCGAGGCTTTGCTGGCTGGATGAACTTTGATCAGATGGGGGAGTGGGCTGCCAGGCACTCGCCGACAGCTCACAGCTTCATTGGCCATCGCATCTTAGCGTACCCAGAACCCTGATGTTGATGACGATGACGAAAATGACACCCTAAACTCTAATCTCTATACGGCAAAAGCCAGAAAGTTGGAATATGATTATCCTAACCCTTCTATGGTAAATTATAGGGTATCCTACTATGAAACCATATTCCAACTTTCTGGAGTTCCCTGTAGTGGGTGGGCCGGTGAAGGTGCTGGTGATGGTGCACGAGCCACAGAGCAGTGCGGGCTGTCATCAGAAGGGCAGACCTTCACACGCCCCAAGTGTTGTCAGAGCTGGCCGTACATGTGGGTTGTTTTCAAAATTATGGTGCCTTTTTGGGTCCCTATTACAATACGGCACCTATTATTTAGGGTACCCAAAACGGGACCTTAATTTTGACAACTACCCATGTGACTGTTGCGAACATTGAAGGCACTCTTAAGATACTTTAAGGCTATGTGGGCATAGTCTCCAGATCCTGCAGAGTCCCTCATGGCTGATGAGCCATTACTTCTGCTAGGCTGAGTCCGGCGTTGAGAATACTACTAATTAATTGTTCTGCACCCACACTTCAGCGCATGAATCTCGATAGTTTCTCTACCCATAGGCCCCAAAGTGGTTCCTTTTTGGGATTGCCTTATAGGATTCTATAGACGAACCCCAAACAGGAACTACTTTGGGGCCTTAGGGTAACAGGCTGTCACCAGAGAACACCATTTCCTCAACAGCGGCCTTCCCCGTCAAGGTCGACGAAACTGCACCAAACCGAAAGCACCATTTCTCTTCCGATGATGCTAGTATTACCAATAATTACCTATACTATTCCTTTAGGGCTCCTGTAAAGGGGTATATGTAAATATATACATATATACACATATAGAAGGGCTACTATAAGTTTCTAAAGGCTCGTTTTTGTTCAGCGCGTTCAGACCCCAAGTCAAGCAGCGCGGACCCCGCCCAGTGCCTTGTCGCGCTGAGGTGCATGCACTCGTTGTCTCGCTTTGTCGATTTCCTGTGGGATATAGAGATCTGAACAGTTCGTCATCGTGTCTCCTGCCAAATCCTCATGGTGCCTCTACATTTTATACTCCATTGCACCCCCCTAAACCCAAAATTCCTAAACCCCCGACCCCAAAGCCCTGAGAACGCAGCCTTTCACCAGGCTCCGGACTTTCATCGCGAACGGTGCAGTGGTCTTGGTTCAGACAGTGGCTGAACTGCCATGCAGAGGTCGAGGGTACGGTATGGATGGGGTTGAGCCGATTACTGGCATTGAAAAGGGCTTCGGTAGATTTGTGCAGAAGTTTTAGACAAGGTTTAGACCCAACTTATGGCATTGAGATCCAAACTACATATCCAAAAGCCCTAAACCCCAAACTGCAGACTCAGAAGTGGGAGTTGGGATTTCGGTTCCTAACCCTAAACTCCATGCGCTGGCAAACTCCAGGCCGTACTGGCCAGGCAGCATGGGGCCATACGCGATCACCACATTCCCTACCAGTCCCTGTTGCATTTCGCAATTTGGCGAGGTAATATCGCAAGGAGTGCAAATGCATCAACATAAATTCAGAGCACGAACGCTGACAATGTAGTACCGGCTTCCTTCGTCCTAGCTGCTTGCCCAACCCCAAACCCGAAACACTGAATCAAAGTCCACTTTAGGGTTTCGGGTTTTGAGGGTTTCGTCAGCCATGGGCCCAATTCCCAACGCCTCAAACCCTGATATCACATGAACAGAAGCCTAATTTCCCGAATGCTTGATCTCATTCTTTCGATTGTTCCCTTTTTGATCCAACATGACTATTCCAGAGCAGATCCCTATTCTGGTTTAGACCTCAAGACGCTCGTCCTATGCCCCTTGAGCCTCAGCTCTAAACCCATATGGGTGGTTGTCAAAATGATGGTTGCTTCTTGGGTGCTCCATATATTCGGTGCCGTATTATATCAAGGACCCTTTAAAGGGGTACCATGATTTTGAGAACCACCCATAATCTCTCCTTAAACCCAATATTAACCCTAAAACCCTATAATCTCTCGGCCCGGAAACCTTTTCCCAGGTATGGGGCTTGGATCAGCCCACGCCCCTGCCGCCGAATGTGGCGGCTCGTGGAGCATTGGAGAGGTTAAGGGTTTACGGGTTTTGTTGGTTTTAGGGTTTAGAGAGGTTTAGGGTTTAGTTTTTTTTTTTTGGGGGGGGGGTCAGGTGTGGGGAGGACTGGGTACGCTGCATTGTTGTTGCTGGTGCCGAAGTTGGTTCGGACGTGCTGGTCACGGCCAGCGACGGTTGGCAGACCTGCGCCAACAGGCATCCAGCATGTTTACAAGTTTAACTACAAGTTGTATAAGTTCCAGTCCGGGAAGTTCTTTTCATGGACGTGGCTTTTAGGTGTACTTGCTTCTGTGCAGCCGGGCTTGTCTCAATGCCTCTATCAGAAAGCCCAAAATATGTGTTTTAACCTCCGCATCCTCAACCCGGAGCCCAGACCCGGACCCTGCCCACACCTTCCAAAATCCCTTAATTAAGGAATATACCTTAAAGTATAATAGGATCCCTAATATGGTTTAAGGTATATGGCCGAGCCCAGCACCTGTTTCGCAAGGTGATCACCGGGCCTGTGCTCCCCCCTGCCCACGACTTGCGACAAAAGCTCGCAACTGGGCTTTGGAGTAACATACTTTAATACTTTTTTCTTAAAGAAACCCTTATGAGATGAAAGCTTATACTTTTTTCTTCCTGGTTACTTAAAAGCCCAGGCAAGTGAGCACCCTAAGTTGCACGACTTCCTGCGTGACTTGGCGGGCTCGAAAGAGAGACGGTACGTGTTTTCTTGCAGTAAGGGTGTTTCTTCTCGGGCAGCGGTGCACATGGGACACCCTGAACACGAGGCTTTTGGCTCAAGGTTTTGTTGACTCCTACATCCTTGATTTCTATGTCTCTGGTCGGGTTACTTTCTAAGTGAATCGTAATTCAGGCAGAAGTCCACAAGTGAATCACGGGAGCCTTTGCGTTTGCACGTTGAAAATAATTTATCTCGTTCGTGTACCAGGGCCCAGAGCCTATTGCGTTTCAGTCCTGCCTGTAGTCTCCATTGTAGTTCCTTTTTGGGGTTACCTTATAGGATCCTTATTATATATTTGGTTAAACCAAAAAAAAGGAACTACAATGGAGACTATAGGTGCAACTAAATTTCATGGGCGTCGGCTTCCAGATGCAAGGCTCCCCCAAGGCGTGCTACACGCCACACGCCCAAATTTCCAACCCTTACGCAACAGCCGTGGAACGCAAAACGGGTAAGTTGACTCCTACAGCATTAGAGTCCTCAAAGCCCTACGCAGCCTAAGCTGCTCCGGGTTCCAAGACATAATATATAGAGGCCATAATAATAATTCCCAAAACCATATTTCAAGGGTTCCTTATTATACAGTCCTCATAGTAGAAGATACTATTTCAGGGGTTCTTTTTTATAGTCAAGTAGAATATTATACCTCCAAAACCATCTTTCAATTATTGAGGACCCTTTAGTATGCATCTCCAAACTCGAAGCTCCGAGCCAAGGCAAATCGGGAGACGCAGGTGTCGTCTATGCAACTTGTCTCAGAGTCTGGTTTTCAGTTGCAGAAGAAGGGTTTAGGGTTGGCGGGTTTATGGGGTTCAGGGGTTTGGGGTTTATGGGTTTAGGGTTTAATTAGGGTTTAGGGTTGGCGGGTTTAGGGGTTTAGGATTTGGGGGGTCTAGGGGTTGTAGGGTTCAGGGGTTTAGGGTTCAGGGTTGGCGGGTTTAGGGCTTAGGGGGTTCAGGGGGTGTAGAGTGCCGCGGGGATGGCGAGAGGTGACATTGTCCAAGGGTCAGTAATTAGTCATCCAAAGCCAAGTTGCGACGGGAGCTGTCGTATTCACACTCAGCTGTGGGAGGCGAATCGACATCGTAATTCTCCTCCCAATGCGACCCTCAAGCCTGCACACGTGCGGCTCAACGTCTTCGCTGCTGCTGCTCTCGGGCGTCTACGAATCCAGAAGGAATTTGTTCAGCACATTTTGCCCGTGGAGCTTCAAACCCTACCTGTGGTAGCCACTTGCAACGGTCGATTTTTCGAGCTGCAGGTAGACCACAATCCTAGCCTTCCGCTTCGTGCCTATTCTCTCATTGCCGGCTGGTTGCAGCTGTAACCTGCAACCACGTAACCAGAATATACGATCGACAAGAGACTGCAGACCCAAACTTGAGGGCTTCATGTAGATACCTGAACAACAGAGTAACAGTTACTAAGAATTATTCCCGTATGACTCCTTATCATAACTATCCAGAGGCCCCAAAGTAGTTCCTTTTGGGGATTACCTTATAGGATTCTATATCTGGGAGTTTCCGAAAATAGGGGACCTTAATATAGTACCCTAAATAGTAGGATCCTTATTATAAGGACCCCAAAATAAGGTACCCCTGTTTTCGGAAACCCCATATGAACCCCAAAAAACAACTACTTTGGGGCTTCTGGGTATCCCTAAATATGCCCAAGAGACTCCTGCTCCCCATCCTGCAGGCCGGGTCCATTTGCATACAGATATACATATATACACAGAAACGTAATGTATACATATATCTATATATACATATATATGTATACACACATGTATATACATATATATATATATATATATATATATATATGTATGATCCAAATGAGCATGTACACATACACCTATGTATATAAGTGTATATGTATTTATGCCTGTTTTAGAGGGATTGAGCTGGGAGCCCAAACCTGCTTGACCGCCGTCGCTGCACATCCTGTAGCCCAACCCTTTTCTCTCAGGCTGCAAACCTGGGCCCTTTATAAATCCCAGAACCATTGCTTCCGCTGACACTAGAATGTGAATCGCAGAACCTTGCTGTAGACGGTAGAACTTTCAACTCTAAACTTTCCAACCCTGGGCCCTGAACTTGTTTTGTGAGCCCTTCCTAAGGTCACAACTGGCAGTTTAGCGAAGCTGCACGACTGGCAAGTTCGCGCGATATACAAAGGTTTGAAAAAAGCAAAGTGCCGTACCTGGGCAAGGATGTTATGGGTGTGCCAGGGGTTTGTTTAGGGTTTGGGGTTGCGCGATATTGGGTTTCGGATTTGCTTGTCGAGCTTATCGGGCAGCAGTGAACCCTATATAACCTAAACTAGAGCTCTTGTGGATCTGCTCTCCGACCATCTCTCAGTGAGTTTGTGCCCAACTTTCAACCTGGAGGTTTAGGGCCTAGGATAAACAAATTCCGAAACCTCGGTGTGGAAAAGGTCCGGATGAAAACAACAAAACAACTTTAAAGGGTTTGGAGTCTGATTAGGGCCTTGGCTTTTGAATGTGTAGGCTCTCTCAGGCAAGGACCGAGCACAAACCGACATGGTGATGCGTTAGAAGCTGCCCCCACCCTGTAATAGTGGTATAATAGGAATATAATAGGGCCCTAGTATAATCCTGTATAATCCTTATGGTCACTATTACAGGGTGGGGGCCCCTTCTAAGTGATGCGATGCGGTAGAAACGTACCCTAGGTTCTGCTCTCTGCTTCTGCATTGCCCATGACTAGGGACAGCAGACCCACCGCCTCAAACCCCCGAAACCCCGAACCCGAGACCCGCAGATGATCCCCGGGACATGTGTCAAGCCCGAATCCTGGGTTAAGGGTTTAGGGTTTAGGTGTGGACTAACTTCTCCGGCCCAAACTCCTGGGGTGAGGGGGTGTCGTTCTTCCGAGAAGAAGACCATTGTGATGTTTAGGGATCAGGCGTTGCGCCTTAATGCTAGATCGGTAGTGGCTATGGCTGCAGCCTTAAAATGCAGTCCTCATGAACCAAACTGTCGCAGTGGGAGAGCGTAACAAACCATGGTCGCGTGAGAACAGATGCTTGCGTATATACTGCAAGAGCGGCCCGCAACAGGAGGCTATTCCGTCGTAGCCTGACAGTCCGAAACCATTTAATCGCCTGGTCCGTCCGAGTGTGAGCGCCGAAAGCATTTTGTTTCAAACGAGTCGAGCCACTCAACCGACTACGCTCTAACGACCTGGCTTCCCCGAGTGTGAGTGCAGAAACCAAGGTGGGGGTTTCCGAAAATAGGGGACCCTACCTAATATAGTACCCTAAATATTAGATTCCTTATTATAAGGACCCCAAAATAAGGTACCCTTCATTTTCGGAAACTCTAAACCCCTTATAGCGCCCTTTAAAGGAACCCCTTTTGTACCCTTTTTGAAACACGTTAAAGGGACCCCAAGGTACCCCCCTAATTTCGGAAACTCCCAGGTGTGGTGTGGAGCTTAAAGGAGGCACAGCAGGAGTTCCTGCCCAGCAAAGACGATCCAGACATCTGGGCAGAGATATTGGAGTTTCCGAAAATTAGGGGTACCTTATTTTGGTGTCCTTATAAGTAGGATCCTACTATTTAGGGTACTATATTAGGGTCCCCCATTTTTGGAAACCCCCCTATTCATCTTTGGCGCTGAAACCCCCGGAAACCCTAGACTAAGGCTAGGACGGGCGGCAAACGAACCTTAAGAGCCAGTCCGGTTTTGACTGCGCAGGCCCCGGTTTAGGGTTTAGGGTTTTAGGGTTTAGGGTTTAGGGGCGGCGCAGGCATGGAAGACTGTCGCTGGAAGACCCGTAATGACCATCTTCGAGAAGCCGACTCTCTCGTAACACTACGGATGTCGCTAAAGGACAGCCGGCACACAGACCAGGATGAGCGCTAATGGCTTTCTTTCTTGTATACACTGATCCTTTTTTCCTAGATCTCCTGAACCAATGAATTCCCAAGATTAGAAATAATCAGACCCCCAATCCAGAAGCCGCCAGCTTTGTGCACCAACGGCCCAGCAATTCAGACTTGTTTGTTCTTCTTAAAAGACACGCCCCAAGAAGGATTCGCAATCTCTGGCAACTGCTTCTGAATCACTCCTACGATAGTATCAAGCCACTTCTTTTCAAAGCGGTGTGAAGCATCCCCATTCTGCGTTGCAACAACACACCCCCCATTGTGAGCCCAGGAATTCTACATTAGCAAGTGGACACCACAAGCTGAGCTTCTGCAGGATGACGCCGTTAAGGCCTTGCAGGTTACTGGCTTCGTCCCACCCCCACTCGCCTACCCGCCCGCCCACCCACCCACCCACCCGCCACACCCAACCTCCCACCACACCCACACCCACCGACCACACCCACATCCCCATGCGTGCAGACGCGCATGCACGTACACAGACACACATACACACATACATGCATGTAGATAAGCAACCCCCCACCCACACACAACACAAAAGCAATCAAGCAAGCAAGCAAGCAAACGAAACGAACAAAACAAGATAGTTTCATGCATACATACATAATTACCTGCATACATGCTTGCACACATGCGTGCGCATACATAGCGTACGTACATAGCGAAAAATACAGAACCCTTGGTCCTCCACACGTTTTGATTTTACAGGCTAGGCAGCGGGGTGCGGCTGTCAAGACGCACCCCGCTGCCTAGCCTGGGAGTTCCGGATTCGAGACAGCAATTGCTGACTTATTTACTGGCCTCAGCCTGCGAATAGACCACCGCGTTCCAATTCTCCATGCCGGCTTCATGCGACCCCAGCCTGGGAACTCCAAATTCTAGACGGCAAAACCCTGAAATTCCCACATCAAGACTCCCTCGGACACCGCGTTCCTGCTCCAAATGGCTACGATCCAAACCCCGAAATGTGCCCTATTGCCGATCCTACGTGACCCTTAATTCAACATAGTTTGAATTTGATCATTTCTGAACGTCGGTTTTCTGTGTAATGTTAAGGGGGTATTTGTTGTATGTGTTATGTTGCGCCAGCAATGTTTCTAGTATGTTACGTTGTGATACGTCTTGCTATGCCATGCTGTGTTATGCTTTTGTTATGTTTTGTCGTGGCATGTTATGTTATGCCCTGCCATGCCAAGTTTTCTAGTAGGCTATATCCGGCCATGCTATGGTTGATTTTGGCAGGGTGTGGCATGGCACCTTACTTTTTTAGGGTATCTTCTGTTACAGTACACTATGGGATGTCATGTTTTGTGAAGTTCCTATAGATGTTATTCAAACTTTCTGCCGTGTATGTGTACGGAGACATATATACATATATCTATGTGTTTACATAATGTAAGTTTGTGGATACACACACACACACACACACACACGCATCCGCTCGGAGATGCAAAGCCAGATGCAATCCCGTTTCTGTGTTCAGAGTATGCAGGACATCTTCGCCTGTGGGTACGTAGTGCATAGAGATTTATCTAGGTTTCTGTTGCCGTTTTTGTTGCATCACAAGACACACATTGATCCTATCTCTGTGTCCCATAGAATCTTCACCTGCAATGTAGAGTTGACGGTCCTGCCCATATAAAGCAGGTCTTTAAGACCTTCCGGCGTTTGAAGACTCATACTGATACTAATGATACTACTGTAACTACTATGTTATTACTACTACCATTCCCGTTTGCAGAAGTGGTGTTTGAGATTTGTCCAGGTGGTGATCACTCACTGCGGATGGGGAGGCACACTGGAATGCATGACTGCGGGCAAGCCTGTGGCAGCTCAGCTGTTCTGTGGCCGAGTGTTTTTGATTCCTGATCTGAAGTTAATGTCTGAAGTGACTAGTTGCAGGGTACAGGGTGTAGGAAAAGCTGGGCAGACACTCAATGTCATAAGCGCAGAGCATCTCCTTTCCATGCCGGTACCCATGAACAAGCTTAATTCGCACAAATCTTGACAAAAGCATGCCGCGGCTGAGGTGGCCATCCCTTTCTTCGGGGATCAGCCCATAAATGCGAAGCTTCTGGTCGAGGCGTGTGCACCCAACTATGGGGGCCTTCATTACCAGAATTCTGTTCCCGGAATTAAGGGTGCCTTTCAAGGCTTTCTACGGATCAAGAATCCCCGAAGAATTGGGGAGATCCCTGAGTGGATCCTATAGACACGGCAGGCGCGACGCTGAGCGGCATTGCTTCGTGTTGCTGCTATCTGCATGCATGTCTATGTCAAATGGTAAAGACATAAACACACACACACACACTATGTCCGTCCCTGTTCCTTCTATATGTATATATGCTTGTGCATAAATCTATACATGTATTTGTACATGCCTATGAGCCTATGTGCCTGTATATGTGTGTATCAAGCATACACCCATTCAGGAAGAAAGGCAGAACGAAAGAAATAAATAAACAACTCAATATCGACAAATGGCAAATAAGTTCAACACAATGGGTATACCGAAAATGATCAAGAACTGCAGGTTACACCTGTAAACATATATTATATATTTAGATGCATCTGCAAATACATACAATAGCATTAAGGCAACGAAAATTACAGTAACACCGCCACTAATCATAGTACCAAGACAATGATAATAGTACTATTCATAGCAATAGTAGGCTTCAAGAGTCTTACGCTAATAAAGAACAGTAGCACCAATAAAAGCAGTAAGAATAAGCAGAACCATCATACTAATAATATCAATAACCACAATGCTCTCTGACGTCTTGTGCCTCCTAGATGCTCCGATGGGTTCCTCTTTCCGCTTGTTGTGTCAGCTTATTGTGCACTGAAGGTTTCCCTACTTTACAGTATGGTTAGGTACTTGGGGGTCTGGATGGGGCGGTTCCCTGAGAGCGAAGCTAGAAAGTGGGGTGAAGTTTTCCTTGTCACACCTGAGTCTGCGGAGAGCTGTACTGGCTGTCGATTTTGCTGGTGTGCGGGAGCCCAAAAAATGACAACAATAAAATACTGACACTGATAGTCGTAGTAGTAGTAGTAGTAGTTGTTGTTGTTGTAGTAGTAGCAGTAGTGGTAGTGGTAGTGGTAGACCACTACGACTACGACGACCACTACCACTACCACTACCACTACCACTACCACTACCACTACCACTACCACCACCACCACCACCACGACCACTACCACTACCACTACCACTACCACTACCACTACCACTACCACTACCACTACCACTACCACGACGACGACGACGACTACTACTACTACTACGACTACGACTACGACTACGACTACTACTACGACTACGACTACTACTTACTACTACTACTACTACTACTACTACTACTACTACTACTACTACTACTACTACTACTACTACTACTACTACTACTACTACTACTACTACTACTACTACTACTACTACTACTACTACTACTACTACTACTACTACTACTACTACTACTACTACTACTACTACTACTACTACTACTACTACTACTACTACTACTACTACTACTACTACTACTACTACTACTACTACTACTACTACAACTACTACTACTACTACTGTTACTACTACTCTACTGCTACTGCTGCTGCCACTGCGACGACGACGACGACTACTACTGCTACAACTACGACGACGACGACGACGACGACTACTACTACTACTACTACTACGCTTTTGCTACCGTTACACATGATAATAATCAGAGTAACTGACATGTGTGTATATATATATGTATGCATACGTATATGTATATGTATGCACATACATACATCAAACATACATATAGCATGTCTATGTGTCACGTACACATGGTAGTTTACACCCCCTTTCCCCAAGTGATACAGCACCCTCGCGACTGTGGTTTCAAACTGCTTGAAGCTCTGTCAAGCCGAGGAGCAAGCGTTGAAATGCCCGCAACCCATTTCACGGTTTAGTGTTTCAGGGTTTAGGTTTAAGAGTTTAGGGAAGCCTGACGTCCGATATGCAACATCCCACCCCTCCGCGGGGTGTGTACCTAAACCCTATAAACCCTAAACCCCCGTAGCCATTTTGGCTCAAGCCATTTTGGCTCAAGGCCGTGCTCCGCAGTGGGTGTAGAGGCCGCTCCAGGGTAGGCAAGATCTGATACTCCCCCTCCCCCCCAGTACTTACTACTTGCGTGTGCCCGCTGCTGCTACCCTCTCCTACTTTAGTTGCTGCGGTGAAGGGTGCGTTGTGAGTCTTTCTTGCTCTGTTTTGGGATCGAGGGGTCTTTGGTGATTGGTTTTGTCCCTGTCTTGAGCCATGTCTGATGCCTTGTCTGGGCTTAATGCAAGGGTCGCTGCTGGGGTGAACAGGGCCGAACCGCCTCATCTTGAACCCTTCGAGGACTGGAAGCAGAAGATGGGCTGGGTTGATGATCGTAAACCCATCCCTTTTGTAGATACCGAAAGCTTAGGCCGGCCCGATTCTCAAGCCACTCAGCCTGCTTCCCCTAACAGTATTGATGCTGCAAGAGAAGCTCTTACTGCCGCATTAGGCGGACCAGTTCACGTAGGCGAATTGGATGGTCATCCTACCTTTACTTTCCCGGCACCTAATGAAATGGCTGCAATGGTAGTGGATACCAACAAAGCTAGGACAGCAGATGAAGCCAACCTTCCGCCTCCCCTGGACTCCCCCCAAAAGAAGCGCTCCAGCCCGGACTTCATTGCGGAATTTGATCTCACGGTCAATGACGAAGCAGATGACGACGAACTTCATCATATTGATGGTAAGTCCGTAGGACCTCCTGAATTGGTTGCAGGTAGTACTCCCCTCCCTTCTGCCCCACCTGTTCCTCCCCCTAGGCATACGGAGTCTCCTGATTTCGGTAAACCCGCAGGTCCTACCACCCTTGCCCCGCCGCAGTTTGCAGGTAACCTACAGGCCGGTTTGCCCTCTCCCCGTAGAGGACCCAGGAGAAATGCTACTGCCCGTACTGATACTGTGGGTCCCCCAGGCTTGAGTGAGGCTAAACCGACAGCAGCTGAACCAACCCATGAACCCCCGCAACCTCTGCCTAACAACCCTCAGCATGCACTTCCAAGCAACCCTCCTTGGCTGTCTTCGCTACAGGCCGACTTGCATAAGCTGGTGTCACAGCAGGATCGTTTTCTTTCTGAACTCTCGTCATGCACGGAAGCTACCAGAGCAAACTCGGCCTGCATCAACACGTTACAGACTAGAACTGAGGCACATGAGAAGATGCATGCAGAGACAGAGGGACGGATTACCCGCTTGGAACGAGAGCTGTCAGCGCTTAAGTCCCGGCCCCCGTCGCCCTCTACCCCCCGCAGTATGGGCGGCAACACTCCCAGGGGTGGTGGTTTGGGGTCCACCACTGCTTCCAGTATCGGAGGCAAGCCGATCGATGACTTACAAATAGTAATCGGTGGGTTTACCAATGCTAAACGGGTGGACTTACAGCAGGAAGTCCGTGAGTTCTTCGCATCCCATGGTGGTCCTCAGGTACTCAAGGAAGTCTATGTGCCGTACTTGCGCTCAAATATTGTGCGTATCGAACTGAATTTCCCCCCTGTTGCAGACTTAAGTGCACGCCGAGCTATGCAGACACAAGTGTTACAGGTCCTTAAGGACACCTATACGACGAAAATTCAAGGCCAGGGGGGCAATCGTTTGTGGTTCCAAAGGAACCGATCACCGGAGGATCGACAAATGATACGTAGTATTTTGCGCACCCGTGAAATCATGCACAAGCTTGCGTCCCCAGAATCTAGGACGGAATTCGAATGGAAAGGACGAGTTTACCTAGACGGGGAGAATATACTCTTTCATGCAGCACAGCGAACGCCGCCTGCTGAACACCACCCACTCTCTGATGTACGAGGGTCGCACAATGGTTGGTACATAGATGTGGCACATGTCGCCCGCCTCTTAGGCTGTGGAGTGGACGAGGTTATGCAGACCTGTGATGCATAGGAAGGTGGCAGAGACAGGGACACGTGCGAAACTGGGGCAGCTCGACATGCCTCTCGAAGCAGGCCGGTCTTCGATGCTCAGGCCGTGCATTGGAATGTTCGTGGTAAATCGGTCCAAGAGGTTCTTGACACTATGCAAGGCATAATTCATCCGCCTGATTTTGTTCTGTTGCAAGAAGTTGGGGGACTTGGAAAAACTCCTCCTAATTCGGCCCTCTCCTTTACGGTTTGGTCTGGTAGCGAGAAATATTCTTGCTTTCATGTTGATTCAGCTCAAAGCTTTCGACATGTGTGCATCCTCATTCGACACCCCTTTTCGGAGTATGTGCAGTCAACCTATGTTTCCTCGGTTGGTCTGGGCGTCTATCTTAAGCCAACAGGCGGGCGACCTATACTATTGTGTACCTTCCACCTCCCTCACTCCAAACGTGAGGATGCCAAAACAGTATGGGAAAAGGGCACCCCTGAAATTTCAGATATCCTCCATGTAGCGGGGCCTCACGATCTGGTTCTTCTTTCAGTTGATCTTAACCAGGATTTTACATTGCATTATGATACTTTCGCTGGCATGCCACACTTCAGGACCGTCATAGCACAACATGACCTGCGCATGCTTCCCACCGAGGGTAATACATGGTTCGCTAGGGGTTCTTCCTCCAAGATTGACTTTGTCTTCTTTCGTGGCTTAGGAATGTGTGCTTCTACTGAAAACCGTTCTGATTTGCGCCTAGGGCTTCCCTCCGACCACAACGCCCTCCTCGTGAACTGCTCAGCGAAAGACCCTCTAGCGAGACCACAATATCGTAGGACGTTGTGTGGCGTCTGGGATACGGATCCGCGACGGCTTGAAGCGGCTGCTTCCTGCCACAAAACCTTCGACCTGGCAACCTTGTATACACTCAGGGATAAAGCTGCGGTTAAGCCCCCCAGTCTTCGGTACAAAGATCCTCTGCATGTGCATGAACTTATACGCCAACGTAAACAGTTAACCGACCCGAGTGCACGCTCCAAATTAGTTGCATGTATACATGAGGCACGCAAGCAAGCCAAGCTAGAGCACAAAACCGAGCTCCTGCAACGGGCCCAAGCAGGGGA